AGCTACTCAGGAGGCTGAGGCAGGAGAATTGCTTGACCTGGGAAGTAACACAGTAAGGCTCTGTCTCAAAAAAAAAAAAAAAAAAGTTCTGGAAACGTATACCATGGAAGATTTTATATCATATTTCTAGAACACACACTCTGTACTTTATAGAATTTCTCCTTTTATCTCATTGACCAGAACTTAGTCATATGGCTGCAAGGGAAGCTGGGAAACATGGTCTGTTCTCTGACTGGCTGTGTGCTTAGCTAAAACATTGCTGTTCCTTTACTAAGGAAGAAGGGGAGAATGGATATTGGGAGATAACCAGTAATGACTGCCATAGGTAGATATTATCACTGGCCTCATCCCAAGATGGGGAAGGTGAAGAGACATTCCTTGGGAGCCCAGAGCCAGAGGAGTACAAGATCTGATCCCAAGCCCTTTACCATGAGGCCACATGACACAGCACTTGTGAGTGTGGCCGAACAAGAGAAATTCGGTATGTCTTCTTGTTTGCTTAGTACCACAGAGGAGGTTAATTGGCAAAGTGAAACAAATAGAAGCTGTAGAAAATACATTCTGAACATTCCTTACTGCCCGTAGCCTGGTGCTGAAGGGCCCTGGCATCTATTTTAGGAAAAGGCTAAATATATTTAAGTATATTCATGGGAAGGATACGGTACCACATGATAACATTATTGATTTCTCTATTAGTCCTATGGTAGAGCAAAAGTCATATACCACTATTTTATAACATCAAAGATTGACCAATTATGTAAGTTTTTCGGATAATAGCATGCTTATTGAGTTAAAATCATGAGATAATGGAGTAGAAAGTGGTATGATTATCTTGATCAGTGGTTCTTAACCTCTCTTGGGCCATATATTCCCTTTGGGAGTCTTATAAAAAGTATAAATTCGCCGGGTGGGGTGGCTCACGCATGTGATCCCAGCACTTTGGGTGGCCGAGGTGGGCGGATCGCAAGGTCAGGAGTTCTAGACCAGTCTGGCCAACATGGTGAAATCCCGTCTCTGCTAAAAATACAAAAAATTAGCCGGGTGTGGTGGTGTTGCCTGTAATACCAGCTACTTGGGAGGCTAAGGCAGTAGAATCACTTGAACCTGAGAAGTGGAGGTTGCAGTAAGCCGAGATCGTGCCATTGCACTCCAGCACAGGTAACAGTGTGAGACTCCCATCTCAAGAAAAAAAGTATAAACCCTCTCTCTGGAAAGATGGACTTTCCTACTCACAAATCTTGGTCTTTAACCTCAGGGAGCTCATGGACTGCCCTGAAGCCCATCTAATAAATTAAACATTTCAGGAAAGTTTTTGGGAATGTTCTAAGAAGGAAATCCAGGGCAAGGATAAATGAACAGTCCCACAGTTCCTTGCATACACATATATACACACCAAGGTCGGAGTGGGCATCACACTGCTCATCAGTTAACGTGGAACCTTCCAGACCTTTATAATATAGGGCATTAAAAAAAATACAAATGGTCTCAACAATACATGCAGGACCGCTTGGTTTTATTTGTTCATTCAGCACTATGTCTCAGGGGTGCATATGTCTCTAGGTTGTCTTCCCATTTTCATAAGCATGATACATTCTTTTTACACTTCTGATCTGCTTGTTGTTATACTTTGAGAGAAAGAAAAATGAGCCACAAAAGATTCAGAAAGGGGCAAACAAGGAAGTCAAGTATTTTTTTAAGGATAGATGAAATGAGTTCAGACTCTTCGGCACATATGTAGGATTGAGTGTAATCACAAGTCATAAAATCATGATGGGTAGGAATGAAGAGACTAGAAATTTCACAGCAAACTGTAACATATAAAAACAAGAGAGCTTTTCTAAAAGCTCAGAATAAGTCACTTTAGAAAAAAAATGAAAGGACTGGTTCACATGGTAGTTAAGAATGGGAGGAAAGTGACAGAGGAGGAAAAAACATGTCACAGACAGCAATGGGCTGGTCGTAGCAAGCTCTCTGGTTGGGACTCATTTTTCCCCAGCCCATCCCATTATTCTCTGCAGACTTCTGCCTCACCCACTGCTACTGCAGGGCACGACAAACTCAGAAACAGCAAAGTGCCCATCCCAGAGGCTGCTAGGTAATGTCAGGGCAGTGCTGAAGCCCTGCTGGGATATGGAGGTGATACCAACGCATGCTAGTGGGCTACTGGGGCCTAGGGCTTTTCCTCCCCTCCCCTCCCTCTGAGAACTAAGTAATTATAACCTGGAGCAGAGGAATGGGGGAAGCGGAAGTTATCCACAAGGATGAGTTATGAGGTTAAGCCCAGATTATAACATCGGTGGTTCTCCATCCTGGTCCACCCTCACCTGTCTCCCCAAACTCTCCAGGAACAGAACCAGTTCTCACCCCTCGCTGAGGCATTGTGCACAAGCCCAGGGAGATGAAAATCCTCAGGACAGGTATAGGTCTACCAGTGAGGATAATGAGACTAAGAGGAATCCAAGCACTGTGAAGGAAGGGCAGCAAGCTGAATAAACTCACACAGAAAAAAACTCACAAGAGATTAAAATGAGCACAGTGAATATTCTCAGAGAGGTAAGAAAAGATATTAGGAAGCCAGTAGCAGGAACAAGCAGCTATGGAAAAATTGGAGACATTAGGAATATAAAATATTATAGAACTGAGCCAAGCGTGGTGGCTCACACCTGTTATCCTAACACTTTGGGAGGCCGAGGCACGTGGATCGCTTGAGGCCAGGAGTTCAAAACCAGCTTGGCCAATGTGGCAAAAACCCATCTCTACTAAAAGATACAAAAATTCGCCAGGAGTGGTGGTGCATGCCTGTGATCCCAGCTACTCGGGAGGCCAAAGCACAAGAATCACTTGAACCCAGGAAGCAGAGGTTGCAGTGAGCTGAGATCGCACCGCTGCAATCCAGCCTGGGTGACAGAACAAGACCCTGTCTCAAAAACTACAAAAAAAAGGAAAGAAAGAAAGAAAAAAGAAAGAAAGAAGGAAAAGAAAGAAAGAAAGAAAGAAAGAGAAGAAAGAAGAAAGAGAGAGAGAGAGAGAGAGGAAAGAAAGAAAGAAAGAAAGAAAGAAAAAGAAAGAAAGAAAGAAAGAAAGAAAGAAGAAAGAAAAATATTATTGTAGAACTAAAGGAATCAGTGGGTGGGCTGTGTAACAGACTGGATATATGCAAAAATCAAGCATATGAATCCAAAGATTAGGTCAAGAAATTAACTGAGAAGGCATCAAGAAGGGATGAAAAGATTCAAAGAATGAGAGAAAAGTTTGAGGCAGGAAGGATGGAAGGAAAAGGGCCAATATCATATAAAGCAGCAGTCCCCAACCTTTTTGGCACCAAGGGCCAATTTGGTGGAAGATAATTTTTCCATGGACAGTGTGGGGGCGGGGTTTGATGGTTTCAGGATGAAACTGTAGTTAGATTCTCATAAGGAGCACACAACCTAGATCCCTTGCATGCGCAGTTCACGTTAGGGTTCATGCTCCTATGAGAATCTAATGCCACTGCTGATCTGACAGGAGGCAGAGCTCAGGTAGTAAGGCTCCCTCGTCCACTGCTCACCTCCTACTGTGTGGCCCAGTTCTTAACAGGCCACGGGCCACTGCCCAGGGGTTGGGGACCCCTGAATAAAGGAATTCCAGGATGGTGAAGTTAGTAAAACTAGATAAAGAAATATTTGTAGAAATAATGACTGCAACTTTGATTCTGCTGCTTTTTAAAAATGATTGAATTCACTGTTTTCAACATTTATTTTGTGCCCACAATGTGCCTACTCTGTTCAGAGCTGTGAATAAGACAGACGAGATTCCTGTTGCCCTGGAGTTTAAATTCCAGCCTACCACAGGCCAACAAACAACAAAAAAGGCTGTGAATGATAGGTGCGTTGTTGACAATAAAACTGCGTAATGTGCGAGAGAATAGGGTGGGCACTATTTAAATTAGTGCTCAGAGAAATCTCCTCTGAAGGGGTGGGATTTAAGCAGAGACTTAAATGGCAAGAGGGACCCATCCATGTGAGAATCTGGAGGAAGAGCATCCCAGGTGGAAGGAGTGAGCATGGCATGTTAAAAGAACAGAAGGAAGAATGTGGCTGGGGCCTGCACAGCGAAGGTAGGTGGACCCAGATGAGGCTGAAAGATAACCCCTGCCTCTGGTCGTGTAGGGCCATATAGATATGGTGAGAGATAAAAGTGGGTTAATGAGAAAACTGAATTATAGCTGGGCACAGTGGCTCACGCCTATAATTCCAGCTCTTAGGGAGGCAGAGGCAGGAAGATAGCTTGAGCCCAGGAGTTCAAGACCTGCCTGGGCAATATAGCGAGACTAAAAGGAAAAAAAAAACAAACTGAATTACAGCCTCGGCATTAAGCAATGGATTTATAGTTATATTATTTTCTATTATATTTGGTTTAATAATTTTATAAGTCAACATTCTTTGACCCACAAAAATCAGAATTTCTATGGCTCAATCTTTTTTTTTTTTGAGACAAAGTTTCACTCTTGCCTCTCAGGCTGGAGTGCAGTGGTGTGATCTCGGCTCACTGCAACCTTCACCTCCTGGGTTCAGGCGATTTTCCTGCCTCAGCCTCCTGAGCAGCTGGGATTATAGGCATGCGCCACCACACCTGGCTAATTTTGTATTTTTGGTAGAGACAGGTTTTCTCCATGTTGGTCAAGCTGGTCTCAAGCTCCCAACCTCAGGTGATCCACCCGCCTCGGTCTCCCTAAGTGCTGGGATTACAGCCGTGAGCCACCGTGCCTGCTGTATGGCTCAAACTAATACTTGCTAACCAAGCAGGAGTCGAAGCAACCTGACCATTTTATTTTTATTTTTTGAGACAGAGTCTTGCTCTGTCTCCCAGGTAGAGATGCGATCTCACTGCAACCTCCACCTCTAGGGTTCTAGTGGGGGTTACAGGGACGTGTCACCACACCCAGCTAATTTTTGTATTTTTAGTAGAGATGGGTTTTCACCATGTTGGTCAGGCTGGCCTCGAACTGCTGACCTTGTGATCCGCCTGCCTCAGCCTCCCAAAGTGCTGGGATTACATGCGTGAGCCACCGTGCCTGGCCATAACCTGACCTTTTTAAAGGGTTGCTTTCATCACATCCCATTATTCATTACGATCTCCAGAATTTCTCGTATGAGAGAGAGGAGCTAAGTGTTAAAAAGTTTGCATTTGGTGTTAAAACAAGCATCTTGTTTATATTCAGAATGGGAAGCCGCTGTCAAATCTAGCTGAACATTTTTTCATTTAGATTTGATGGATGCTTCCTGAGGTCCTACTGTGTACCAGCTGTGGCCGTGTTAGCTACCAGGAATACGAAGATGAATAAGGAGGTCACAAGTGAAAACAGAAACACCAAGATAAACTTGGCCCAGGTTCTCTTGGGAATTCTCAGGATCCTACCTGGTGCAGCAAATCACACCAGGGAGATGTTACTGGATCTTTGATGAGTGGAGCATCCACAGAGGAAGGAAGTGGGTGAGTGTTAATGGCATCATTCCTCACTTATGTTGGCAAATATGAATATGGAAGAGATGGCTGGAGGGTTTATTCAAAGTTAAATGTTTGGAAGAAGAGAATGCCCCATGTTCCTACAAAAAAAATTAGACCCCGTGGACCAAGATACGTAAGGTAGATATAGATATGTAATGGGTTTCCTTTTAGTGTTTTTGTTTCCTTTGGGTCTGCTCTGGCTTACTTCCTAGTTTTCCTGTCTTTTGTGGGGTGGGAGGAGGGTTGTCAAATGATGGTCAGCCAGAGAAACCCAGCTCTTCCTGCTGAGAGAACTCTGAATTGTATTCAAGGAGAATACCGGAAACAGATAGCCAAAGGCCAATGGCCATGATTTGAAATTTGAGTGCCTTTTAGTGTAACTGTTTTGTTCCAGTATTTCCATTACCAGTCCTTCAATGAGGTATTTGACTCCAGATAAGCGGTCCCCAACCTTTTTGGCATCAGGGACTGGTTTTGTGGAAGACAATTTTTCCACGGATGGGGCAGCAGGTGGATGGTGGTGGGAGGATGGTTTCGGGATGAAACTGTTCCATCTCGGATTATCAGGCGTTAGTTAGATTCTCACAAGGAGCGTGCAACCTAGATTCGTTGCATGCACAGTTCACGATAGGGTTCCCACTCCTATGAGGACCTAACACCGCCGCTGATCTGACAGGAGGTGAAGCTTAGCTGGTTATGCTCACTCACCTCATTCCTAAAAGGCCATGGACCAAAACTGGTCCACGGCCTAGGGGCTGGGGACCTCAACTGAGATGACACAAATTCTATTCTTGCCTAGCACTACTGTTGACTAGCCATGTGACCTCTGCAAGGTGTTCTCTTCTGAGACTCCTTGTTCTCATCTGTAGACTCAAGGTATTCACTAATTTGACCCCTTTAACTCTAAAAGGTGATGCTTGCACTCCGCAGAAGAGATAATTGAGTGCCTGTCACAATCTTAGCAATTTGTGAAGTATCCTGTTCTAGTAATACTAAGGCAGGTTTTTAAATTTTGATTTATAAACTCTAGGCCTTGGGCTCTAGACAAAACAGGGCTTTAGAGGGCTCTTTTTTTTTTTTTAAATGCCAAAAGCAATAAATTGCTGTAGTTTTCTAGATTGTAGACTTACTGTGGTTTTCCCAACTATCCATGTCTGGGGAAAGGGAGCTGATTGGCACAAAAAGAGCAGACAGCATTAGCTTCATCATCCTTACCTGTAAATGAGGCAAACACACTACGTCTTGTAATTGGTCCTGCTTTTTTTTTTCTTTACTTTTCTTTTTGGAAGAGGGAGTGGAGGTGAGTGGTCAGTAAATTCAGGCCCAGCCATTCAGAGGTGGTCCCCTAGTAAAATTTTCCACACTGGAGGTGGAAGGAATTGCTTGCTCATTTTTGTTCTCTGTCCGGTGGAAAGCCTTCCCTCTCACGCCTTGAGCCAGTGAGTCGCTTCCTCTCTGCAAACCTCTAAAGCCTCCTTTCTTTCTCAGCCCAGACCTGGCCCTCTGGAGAGCATTTTGGACTCCTGGGTGGGCAGGGCACCTCAGGCAGCAGGCGGCACACCTTGGATTTGAGCTGAATGGATTTTGAAATTTCAGAGGAGGAGCCTCCATGCAGGAGAAAGTATGTAAGTACTCTGATAAACGCCAAGTGTCGGATTCTAGGTTCAGCATTTTTTCTTTCTGTTTTAAACAACTCTAGGAAAGAAACGCCCATAGAAGGTACAGCAGGCGGGTTGCAGGTTTGTTTTATGACTCATGGAAATTTCTAAAATGATAAATATTGGCTCAGCAGTACTCTGACATAAGACACACTCAACTAAAGCACCATGGTTACAAGAAACAAGAAGAGCATATTCAGTAAATAAAGCATGACTCCACTTCCAAGCTGTCAGAGAAAAAAAGAGTGAAACGCAAGGCCTGGAGTCTTGAGTTTCCCTTCCTGAACGGCCGAAGTTCCATTTGTTTTTCTCAAGGCCAGAAACTGCCCTGGGACTGCCTTCCCAGCCAGGAAGCCATTTCAAATGGTTTGAATGCTATACTTTATTCAGTCCAGAGTCTTTTTTGCTAATATAATGAAAAAAATTTTACCCATTATAAAAATTAACGAGGTTGAGGCCGGGCATGGTGGCTCATACCTGGAATCTCAGTACTTTGGGAGGCTGAGGAGGGTGGATCACCTGAGGTCGGGAGTTTGAGACCAGCCTGACCAACATGGAGAAACCTCGTCTCTACTAGAAATACAAATTTAGCCGGGTGTGGTGGCGCATGCTTGTAATCCCAGATACTTGGGAGGCTGAGGCAGGAGAATTGCTTGAACCTGGGAGGCAGAGGTTGTGGTGAGCTGAGATCGTGCCATTGCACTCCAGCCTGGGCAACAAGTGAAACTCCATCTCAAAAAAAAAAAAAAAAAAATTAATGAGGTTGAAAAGACAAGTGTTTTCTCCTCAAAATAAAAAACACGAAAAAGAAATATTTTTCTTGCTGAGCAAAAATCCCCCTATCTCTGTGTGTATAAGCTGCTGGGCATCTTGGAGAGATGTAAGGAATCAGGAATATCAACTTTTCAGAGAAAATTTAGAGAATGTGAGCCACAAATAATGGCTGGATTCCTTCCGAGTTGAGCTTTTACATGTTATGAAACAAAGTCAGCATTACTTTGACTTCTCATCAGCTGATTTTATTTTCTAAAGAAAAATAATAGACTAAAATTCATACCCAATGAAAAGGCCATTGTATCCACTTACTGAAAGCTGGGAGTGAGCAGCTGGGATCTGCCTTTGAGCTGGGTTTTCCTGCATAACAGGTTTATTAACAGAGCAGCGTGACTCATAAGCAGTGTGCTTCAGAATCACCCCCCCCAACTATACAGCCTGGAACCATGATAAACACATGGTGAGGAGGATGGATCACAAAATAAACTGTGGAAAGACTCAGGCTACAATTCCATGCTTCAAATAAAACAACAAACGAGGTTGTTATATGCATGAAGCTCCAGGCAAGAGACCTGGAAGAAGGCACCAAATCTGAAAAGGTGATTCAGAAAGTCTGCTGGGTCATGCCAGCCACCCTCCTACAACCACTCATGGACATACGGACTTCCCTTAAGCCAGGAGGGCCCCGGACTGAGTCACTGGAATATGTTGTAGGGAACATAGGAAGGCAGAGAAAGCTAAAGCCATTCCGTAAGCTCCTGCAGAGAAGCCCCCTTGAGGTGGTGGAGAGATGAGGTGCCCCGCACGGTCCGCAACACCAGTGCAGGTGGGAAAGGATATGTAATGAGGTAATGCATCCAAAGGCCTTTGGACCCAGCTGCTGGGAAACATCTCTCAAATTTCTCCAAAGGGAAACTTCAAGGGCCAGATTATTCAGAGAGATTGACATGGGACCTGGTGGGAATACTGCAGAAATGGACTTCTCTTTTGCATGGCCTGGTCCTCTGTATTTGCCTTCCCTTTGCTTTTCCACTCATCTTATACAGCGTTGCAACAGGAGGGAGCTCTCCCCGCTGGCCAGGCAGCAGCAGGAGTGTCTCTGCAGGTAGCCAAGGTGACGCTGGCAGCCAGGGAGGCAGCAGTTGGGACAGCTCTGGCAAGAACATCTCACTGGCTGCCCCGGGAGAGGGCCTGGGCCCTGGGCCAGGACATGGATAGGCCTGGATCATTCTGCTGATTGAGCCAAACAGCATTAAAAATAATTGCAGAATGGAAACGACTTTGGTGCATTTTTTCTGGCAATAAAAAAAATACAGATATATCAGGGGAAAAAATGCTGAAAATGTCTAAGAAGAAAATTAAATTTCCCTATTAATTTTCCCGTCACATGTTTATATAATAATAAAGAGGTCATTAAAAAAAATTTAATTATATAAATTATCTGGGAATATCTTCTTATTAAAAAAATCTCTGCACAGAAAAATGTCACCTTTACTCCCCTGCAATTCTTTTCTCCTCACCAAATTTAAGCTCTATTATTGGTTTAAAATGTACAGACCAACGTTTGTCCTTGTGGCTTTGCATAGTTACACACACATGATAGACAGATAGATATTAAGAGATATAGTTTTGTGTTCATGTGTTTTTTTATTATTATTATTAATTTTTTTCTTTTTAGAGACAGGATCTCACTCTGTCACCCAAGCTGGAATGCAGAGGTGTTATCATAACTCACTGCATGCTCGAACTCCTGGGCATAAGAGATTCTCCCACCTCAACCTCCCAAGTAGTTGGATTACAGGTGCCAGTCACCACGCCCGGCTAATTTTTTTGTATTTTTAGTAGAGACAGGGTTTCACTCTGTTGCCCAGGCTGGTCTGGAACTCCTGAACTCATGATCCGCCCACCTCGACCTCCCAAAGTCCTGGGATTACAGGAATGAGCCATGGCGCCTGGCCTGTTTGTAATTTTTATAACTAATTTTTAATTCTTGTCATTGCTTGGGTTAGGTTTGGAAGCATAATGCTAACTGGTGGCCATCCTTATCTTGTTCCTGACTTTAGTGGAAAAGCTTCTAATAGTCCATCACCTCTTCTGCGCTTTATGCTAGGCTTCTGGCAGATATCCTTTAATATGTCAAATAAACCTCTTGTCTTATTTTTGTAAGAGTTTTCATCAGTGGTAGGTATTTAGTTTCATTGACTAGGTGTTCCCCTCCTTTGATTTGTTAATGTGGTAAATTATATTAATGGATTTTCTAATGCCAAACTATCCTGGCCTTCTACGATACATTCTGCTCAGCCATGAGATTTGTTCTCTGGACCCACTGCTAGACATGGCTTATTAGTCATTTACTTAGGTTTGTTACATTTCTTTTCACAAAGGAGATAGGCCTATGTTTCATTTTGGTTTTGTGTTTGTGATATCCTGGGCCAATTTTCACCCCAAAATAAAGAATAAATTGGGACTATTCCCTTCTTTGCCTTTTCTCTAAACAAGTTATATAAGGCAAGACTTACCTTTCTTAAAGCTTTGATAGGCCGGGCGCGGTGGCTCAAGCCTGTAATCCCAGCACTTTGGGAGGCCGAGGCGGGTGGATCACGAGGTCAAGAGATCGAGACCATCCTGGTCAACATGGTGAAACCCCGTCTCTACTAAAAATACAAAAAAATTAGCTGGGCATGGTGGCGCATGCCTGTAATCCCAGCTACTCAGGAGGCTGAGGCAGGAGAATTGCCTGAACCCAGGAGGCGGAGGTTGCGGTGAGCCGAGATCGCGCCATTGCACTCCAGACTGGGTAACAAGAGTGAAACTCCGTCTCAGAAAAAAAAAAAAAAAGCTTTGATAGTATTGGTCTGAGAGACCAGCAGATCCTTAGACCTGATCTTTTCTTTTTTAGACAGAGTTTTCTCTCGTTGCCTAGGCCGGAGTGCAATGGCATGATCTCAGCTCACCACAACCTCCGCCTCCTAGGTTCAAGTGATTATCCTGCCTCAGCCTCCCAAGTAGCTAGGATTACAGGCATGTGCCACCAAGCCCAGCTAATTTTGTATTTTTCTTTTAGTAGAGACAGGGTTTCTCCATATTGATCAGGCTGTTCTCGAACTCCTGACCTCAGGTGATCTGCCCACCTCGGCCTCCCAAAGTGCTGGGATTTTAGACATGAGCCACTGCTCTCGGCCTATACCCGATCTTAAACATAAATCTAACAGTCGGCCCTAAACTAATTTTTATATTTTCTTTTCTTCTTCTCAAGTTTTCTATTTCTCGAGTCAATTTTGGCACTTTGTCTTTTTTTTTCTAGAAAGTCATGCATTTTACGTAGATTTTAAATATAGGGCACATGATACTCTACATAATAGTTTCTATTCCCTAATGCTAAAAATATGCCATCTGCACCTATAGTTTAATTATCTTGTGCCAAAGATAATTAAATTGTGAATTCTTTTGTATTTACGCAGACTTGCCACCAGAAATATATGTATGTATTTTTTTTAACAGGTCTTTTCAAAGATCTCAATTCTAACTGATGTAAGATGAGCTCTCTACTAAGAAATCTGAGTGGCCTTGATGATCACCTTATCTAAAGTCGTTTGCCACCCCAGTTGCCCCCATCGTCTATCCTTTTTCTGTTCTGTATGATTTTTAAAGCACTTATCAGCAACTGACATATTGTACATTTGTTTATTGTCTCTTTACCTGTAATAGAATATATGCTCCATGAGTGCAAGTACTTTGTTTTCTTCAACGCTGAATTGCCAGTGGGTTTTTTGAATATCACTTGGCATACACATGATAAACACTAAATATTTGTTGAAGTTGTTGATTGAAGTAATGGTTCTTTCATTGAGGATTTTGTTATTTTTTTTTGTCTACTCCGTGAATTTTATTGCTTAGACTTTAGTTGTTCTTGTTGCGTTTGGCATTTCATTCTCATAGCTTCTTCCCACCACTTTCCTGAAGCTGCTTCCACCAAGGTGACCAAGGAATCTCATATTGCTGAATCCAATGGCCAATTCTAAGTCCTCATCTCATAGAACATGGTCAGTCATGTGTTCTCTTCACTTTGAAAAACTTTACTTACTGTGCTTCCAGAATCCCACACACTCTTCCTGATTTCCCACCTACCTCTCTGGCTGTTGCTTTTCACGCTCCTTTGCTGGTTCCTCCTCATCTCCTGACCTCTAACCTCCAGGATCCCCATGCATACTCAATTCTTAGACTTCTCTTTACTCTCTACACTAATTCCTTTGTTTTCTGATTCAGTTTCATGACTTTAAATATCTTCTCTCTGCTGTTGGTACCCAAATCTACGGCTATCCTTGACCTCTCTCCAGAGCTTCAGACTTGTAGACGCAACTTTCTATTCAACACTTGTCCTTGGATGTTTCGTAGACATCTCAACCTCCCATACTTAAAACAGAAATCTTGCGATTCCCTCCCCCAACAAAATCAGCTTTACCTCCAATCTTCCCCATCTTGTAAATGTCAATTTTATTTTTCCAGCTATTCAAGACAAAAATCTTCAGATGTATCCTTCTCTCTTCTCTTGCATATCCCACATCAGCAAATTCTGTTGGTTCTACCCTCAAAATATACCCAGAATCCTCTCATTGCTCATTACCTCCATTGCTATCACCCTCGTCGAATTCACCATCACCTCTAAACTAGATTATTGCAGCGGTCTCTTGGCTGGTCTCTCTGCTTCTGCTGTTCTCAGCACAGCCATGAAAACGATCTTGTTAAACTGTAGGTCAGTTTATACCACTTCCTTGCCAAAATTCTCCAAGGCTTCCCTTTACTCTCTTGGTGAAGCCGTATCCTTATTGGAGGATTTGTAGAGATCCTGTGGGATCTGTCCTCTGGTTGCCCTTCCTGACCTCATCTGACCTGCTCCACTGTATCCTCACGTGTTCTCCTTCTTGCCGTGTTGGCCTCCGTATCCTTCCTTGAACAAACCAGGCACATCCTATCACATTTATTCTTCCCTCTATTTAGAATGCTCTTTCTTCAAGAATCGAAGTGGCTTTCCCATCACTGCCTTCTGTTCTCTCCTCAGATGTAACCTCCTCAGTGAGATCTTCCCTGACCAGCCTGTCTAAAATTACCAGATGCCCCGCCATCCTTTCAGTTCTCTTTTTTCCTTTATTTTTCTCGTAGCACTTCTCACCACTTATCATACTCCAGCTTTCACTTGTTTATCTTATTTACTTTCTGTGTTCTCCAATTAAACATAAGCTCCACAAGAACAGGGATCAGGGATTTTTATTTTCTTATTTATTTATTTTTTCTGAGTTGCAGTCTTGCTGTTGTCACCCAGGCTGGAGTGCAATGGTGTGATCTTGGCTCACTGCAACCTCTGCCTCCTGGGTTCAAGCAATTCTGCTGCCTCAGCCTCCAGAAGAGCTGGGATTACAGGTGCCCACCACCATGATTTTTAGAAGAGACGGGATTTCACCATGTTAATCAGGCTGGCCTTGAACTCCTGACCTCAGGTGATCCCCTCGCCTTGGCCTCTCAAAGTGCTGCGATTACAGGCGTGAGCCATCATACCCAGATTTATTTTGTTTTTTTCACTTCTCTTTTCCAGGGCCCACAAGAGTGTTGGTACAGAGTAGGTTGTCAATACATTTGTTGAATAAATAAATGAATAAGATTGGTGGTATAGACGGGCAAGTGATTTCAGGTACAGACGTGATTGATGCCTAAGGGCAGCAGCCATCCGTGAGCTTGAGCACTGATAGAGTTTGGATGTTGTCCCCTCGAAATTTCAAGTTGAATTGTAATCCCCAATGTTGGAGGAGAGGCCTGGTGGGAGGTGATTGGATAGTGGGAAGTTCTTTTTTTTTTTTTAAGATGGAGTCTCACTCTGCTGCCCAGGCTGGAGTTCAGTGACACAATCTCAGCTCACTGCAACCTCCACCTCCCGGATTCAAATGATTCTCCTGCCTCAGCCTCCCGAGTAGCTGGGACTACAGGCACATGCCATCATGCATGGCTAATTTTTTATATTTTTAGTAGATACAGGGTTTCATCATGTTAGCCTGAATGGTCTTTATGTCCTGACCTCGTGATCTGCCTGCCTTGGCCTCCCAAAGTGCTAGGATTACAGGCGTAAGCTACTGCGCCTGGCCTGGAAGTTCTTTATAGCGGTGTGAAAATGGACTGATACAGGGGTCTTGACCCAGATCCCAGGAGGGGTTTATTGAATCTGGCACAGGAAGGAATTCAAGGTGGGTGGTAAAGTGCAGTGAAAGAAGAGAGAGTTTATTGGAAGCTACTCTGCTACAGAGTCACACATTAGCACATTTTCAGAACCTAAGAGGAGGAACATACCATTTTTGTTTCAGATTTTTCTTATATAGGGGTTTTGTCGATGTGAAGACTAAAGTAAGCTGTGC